GGGGGGGCATGAACCAACTGGTTCATGGCTGAACAGTATAAACAGATTAATATCAATGAACTGATTATTGATCAAATAAACTGATTGGTCACAATAGTCATGAACTGATTAGTGACAACGGAACCAAAATCACAGACACAACTTGTGACTGATAACAACATCTCACACTGTAATGCATGCAGACAGAAGTGAGCTAAAACAGAGTTCCATGAGAACAACAATATTCATTCTGTTAGAGCATTAAGGACAGAATGTGTCATGGAACAAGCCGTCACATCACGTAGGTAAAAGCAAATAAATGAGCAGGGTGTTGACCATGCAGCCGCAGTGCAAATGTCCTGCGTTGACATACCATTATGCAGAGCAGTCGAAGATGCGATACCCCTGGTGGAGTGTGCTTTGAGGTTGACAGGAGGCTCTAAATCTGATGCTCTGTAGGCTTCAGAAAAGGCCTCACACAGCCAGTGTGACAAGCGCTGGATGGATAACGGGCGACCTGCAGATGCATCTCTATAATGCACAAACAATTGTTGAGTTTGACACATTGCAGCTGTGCGCGCTATGTAACACGTCAACGCCTGCACCGGACAGAGAAGATGAAAAGATGCTTCTTCTTCTGATCTGTGGGAGGGGAAGAAACCCCTCCAACGATATCATACTAGATTTAAAAGAGCTCGTGATGTTTTAGGCATAAAAGCTGGGTTTGGTCTTAAATCAGCTGAGCTGCCCGTCAGTCTGAGTTCTAAGGCATGACGAAGCAACAGAGAGGGCAGATAAATTACTCACCCTCTTAGCGGGTGTTAAAGCCAGCAGCAGGGCTGTTTTAAGAGACAAGAATTTAAGTGAAAACCTGATCCAGAGGCTCAATTGGAGCTTTGATCAGGGCTCGCAAGACCAGCGTTAAATCCCACTGTGGAGCAAGTGGGCATGAAGCAGGCCTGCGTCTTTGTACACCTTTTAGAAAAAACGCTTCATCAGCGGGTGATTAAAGGCTGTTCTGTCTCCGAACCCTTCGTGGCAGGAAGAGATGACTGCAACGTACGTTTTAAACGTACTGAATGCCAACTTCCTATCCATCAGCTGTTGTAGAAAGACAACACGCCGCCTAATGGACATGAGGTGGCCTCTAAACCTTTCTCTGTACACCAGCGCTGAAAAGCCGTCCCCTTGATGTGTACAGCGCTGTGGTAGATGCAGCACGTGAATCTTGAATTGTGCACACTATCTCCTGAGGGAGACCCATCCTTTCTAAGCGGGACCGCTCAGCGGTCAGACCCACAGGTGCTGACCTATTTCTGGGTAACTCCTGATCGCTCCTCCTGCTTGAAGGAGAGCATCCTCTGTCCACGGCAGTTGCCACGGTCGACCCGACAACAGACGTTGCAGGACTGGGAACCATGGTGCGTTCACGCGCTCGGGAGCCACCAGGAGAGCTGACAATCCCTCCTCCTGAACTCGGTTCAGAACCGTAAAAACAGAGGAGGTGGGGGAAACGCGTACAGAAGCGTTTTGGCCACGGGCTGTGAGCAAATGCATCCACCCCCAGCGATGGATCGTCTCGCGGGCTCAGGGAAAACCATAGTTGACACTGAGCGTTCTCTCGCGTCGCAAACAGCTCCACATCTGCTTTGCCAACTTCTGCCACGTCTGAAAACATCAGATCTGGATGGAGGGTCCAGTCCACGTGACGTGGGTCGCCCCTGGACACCACATCTGCCCCTCTGTACAGAACACCGGATATGTAAACCGCTCTGATGGAGAGCAGGTTTTGATGAGCCCAACACAGTAGCTTTCGCGCAATGTGTAACATCTGGGCTGAACGCACACCCCCCTGGCGGTTTATGTACGCAGCAGTCACCATATTGTCTGTGTGAATCAACACGTGTTGATTCTGTAGCACGGGAGCAAGTGTTGAATCACATTCAGTACTGTGCGACACTTCAAAACATTGATGTGGGCTGATGTGTGGTGGGGCCACAGCGCCCCTACTGCTTGGGATAGGCATGTCCCCCCCAACTTGACAGCGACGCGTCCGTGAAGGCTGACACGTGTGACGTGGGTCTGCTGACGGGAACTCCCTCTGACAGAACCAGAGTGTTTCCCCAGAGTCGGAGGTCTGCTCTCACAGAGGGAGGAACAATGATCATCCGTCGTTTTTGTTTTACTGGATCCACACGCAGACGCGCAAACCACCTCTGGAGGCGTCTCATGTGTAACAAACCCAGCGGAACCACTGTGTGAGTTGATGACATCATTCCCAACAGCTTCATGACGGAGACAGCTGTTATCACTTGCCAGGTCTTGCGTGGCGGAGTTGACTTTTAAAAGTGTCGAATCTTGTTTGATAAACGAGCCTTCATGGTGGTTGAATTTAATTCCACTCCCAGATAAACAATTGTCTGGGCCGGGAAATCAAGCTTCCTTCCAATTTATGGCGAAGCCCAGATTTAACAGGTGTAATGTCAACACCTGATCCTGCATCAGCGCCTCCTGTCTGGAGTGACAGGAGCAGCAGATCATCCAGGTAAAACAAAAACTCTCGTCTCTGTGTTTTAGGATGATCGGTATGCGTTCTCTGGATGTTGTACAACAGGTCCAAAAAACGGTCTCATCCCTCCGATCCGTGAGTAAAACCTTGTGTTTTCTCTCCATTGGGGGACTCTGTAGATTACTTTTATCAGAAACACTTGGACTTCTGCATTTAGGGATGAGATTTAGTCTGATGATGACAGGACCGTTTCTATAACTCCTCTGAATGGAGGGGTTCGGGTTGCAAACTGTAACTTGTAACCATTTGCATAACACCCTGTCCATCCATCTGAAAACGGCGAGCATGTTTTAGCCACTCTACGTAACGTTCGTAGGGTGAACTTGCGTTTAAGTGATGTGTCACGTTTTGTACGGCTGTCAGCAGTCTGCCCCTCAACCGCCGTCATGCGTCGCGGGAATATTTTCTGCGTGACCCAAGGTGAGGCTTGTGCTCAAGGCGAAGCGTGTGCTGGAGGGAGGCGGGACTCATCACCGGGTTCGTTCAGCTGCCTCACGCTTATGCTGCCGTGAGCTGCCGAACGCTGAGACGCGGTGGGTGACGGCTGCCCGCGTTGATTCGTTGAGACGAGTGTCGCTTCTTGTGAGAGTGAAGGACCTCCACCCGAACCAGCCTGCGGACCACATTTATACCGATGTGAGCCGGTTAGCGCCGGGCAGCTGTGTGTGTGCGCCAACATCAACGCAGTGCCGTTGGATGGAGGCTGTTTCATCCCACGAGTGCGAGTTGACACCGCTTGAGTGAGGATCGTGCAGCTCGAGATGATAACGAGTTATTTTCGCTTACC